TAAACTCGGCACCTCCCTTTAACAGACCTCCCCTTAGTGAAAACGGCCTGGGACCGAACCCGACGGACCTGGACCCGCAAAAATGACGGCCGCGACGTCCTCTCGCGAAGCGATAACGGCCAATTCCTTAATCGACGTGTCAGGGTAATTAGGAGGGGTCTGCCCACCCCCAATAATTAACGGGCGAAGAACGGTATAACATAAACTTTTTCGCCGTCGGGGACACCTGCCCCAGGGCGGCTGGAAATCTTGCCCTATACCGTTCTTCGCTCGCTGAGAATAAACCTATCACATGCACGGTGCTGCAGCTATGCTGGTGGACGAGCAGAGGAGGACGCCCGGCGCGGGGCTCTGAGAGCCCGCTCGCGCCCGGGGCGCCATGGCGTCGTGCTGCTCGCTCTCCTCCTCCTCGCCCTGCTCCTGAGGTCCTTTCCTCGCCCTCCTCCTCGCCCTGCTCCTCGCCCTCCTCCTCGCTCGCTCTCCTCCTCCTCGCTCTCCTCCTCCTCGCCCGCTCTCCTCCTCCTCGCTGAAATAAACAAATGCCGGTGGACGAGCAGAGGAGCTGCGCGAGCAGGAGTCCGACGAGGTCTCGCAGCAGGGCCGGGCAGGGCCGGGCAGAGGCGGAGAGCCGCCTGCACCGCCGGGCCAAGGAGCTCCCAGCAGGTGGGCCCCTGCCCCTCCTCCACGCTCTTTTGTTTGAAGGGGCCCAGGGACACACAACTGCCTACACACAAATACCAGGATTCCCCACAAACCTTCATATGTTCTCGGTTTTTTGTCTACCCCCCCGTCCACTGCCCATCTCTTCCCGTATGTTCCTGGGCCTCGACGATGGATTGTGTCTGTGTGTTTCTGTTCCCTCCTGAATGTTCTCTCTCACAACACCGATGAGGAGACACGACAAATCCTATTTGAGCGGCGTATGACTTGTGCGCCGCTCTTTTCAATCCGGCCCACTACGACCAGCCTGACCTACAGCAACAGTTTGCCGATCGACATCTGAGGTACGGACAACAGGACTACGAAGAAGTTGCAGGTTCCATTATCATCATCCGCATTCATCGACGCGAGATCTTTGTTCTGAACATCGTATCTGACCGCTGGCGTGAAGGCGACATCCAGACATGGATTGAAAATGAGCGCCATGGGGTGGTGTACCAAATCACGATGCTCAACGTAGATCTTGCCATACGTACCCAGCTGGGAGGTCTCACGCAGCAGGGCACCATCCGGATTTGGGAAGATCACATCCTTTCACGGCGAGTTCGGACCACGGGGAGACGGAACCGTGCGAGACGTTGAGAGCCGCACGATGGCAGGATGCCCTTCCCGCTGATGACCAACAATATTGAAGGGGGCCCAGGACACACAAATAAATACACACAAATAAAAGGATTCCGCATATTTCCCCATATTTTCTGGATTTTTGTCTTCGCCCCCACTTCCCATATGTTCCCATATTTTCCTGGGAGTCGACGATTAATTGTGTCTGTGTGTTTCTTTCCCTCCTGAAATATGTGCTTTGGGGAGCGCCGTCGGCCAGCAACGGGCAGCCCTTGCAGCTCAACGTCGGCAGCCAACTGCTGTGGGGCCTCACCCACCCACTAGGAACCAGGATGCCATCTCAAAACGGGGAGCTCGGGTTGGATAGAACATCCCATGCCAGCAACCTGGCAACCCAAAGCGCCCTCAAGCTTCCAGTGGGACCACCTTGAAAGCCTCGTGTCGATGCCGTACACCATCACGGCCGACTTCGATACATGCGTGCATCCTGACGTGCGTTCTTCTACAATCGGAAAGGCTCCCACACGTATACTTGGTCTCAGGTGCCAGAGTCTCGGAGAGTACCCCTTGGGCACCCAAAAGAAGGGTCGATGCCATCACGCACCTGGCATGCATCTCATCTTGCTGGGGAACAGAAAGCTTCTGGCCAGTTCCATACCCACAGCAAGACGACGTATCCTACACAGATGTGCCTGAATGTTGCTATGGCTGCGCAGGCCTCACTAGACAGGACTCTTGCCGACCCCAACGATTGTGACGAGGAGCACGATACGCCGCAGGACGACCCAGTGCTGATCGAGAATCGGATGGCCTTGTATGTGAGCTCTGCGGACCCCGCCTTCCAACCTGATCCCGACTTCGCCCCGGCTAGAACAAGGGAGGCAGGAGACCCAAAAGGCCGACCCCGAACTCCACAGGTTCTGCAAGGATCCCGACATGGGCCCTCAGGATCCCGTCCCAACCACCGACGAGTATGCTCCGACTCCAGCTTCTTCCGAGGACCCTCACTGCTACCCCCAGCAACCTTTGGATTTGGAAGGCTTCGGCAGAGCAGGGGTATGGCAGCCCAAAATCGAATCGATAAGTCGGATCGGCGATCGAAATAAGTCGGATCGGCAGAAATCGACAGCCGAGTCGGGAAAAGTCGAATCGGCGGAAATCGGCGGGCTAGTCTGCGTCCAATCACAACTCGGAGCCCGAATCGGAATCCGAAATCGAATCGAATCGGAATCGGAATCCATCGGAGTCGAATCGAATCGAATCGGAGGATTCGAAACGAGCTCTGGTATCTGGGCGAACCCAGCTCATTGGATTTGGAAGGCTTCGGCAGAGCAGGGGTATCTGGGGTATCAGGGCTATTCCTCCTCCTCCTCCTCCTCCTCCTCCTCCTCCTCCTCCTCCTCCTCCTCCTCCTCCTCCTCCTCCTCCTCCTCCTCCTCCTCCTTGGGTAGCAGGGGTATTGGTAGCAGGGGGAGCATTGGGCCCAACCCCTCTCTGTGGCCCTCCGTCGGCTCCGCCTTCCCCCCTGCCCGCCCTCTCTCTCTCTCGAGCAGCTTTTGCGCGAACCGCCGCCAACCTTGGGAGAGCAACTACTGGGAGGTTTTCGTCCGAAGGATTATCGGGCCGGGCCGGGGGGGGATAGCAAAGGGGGGGTTTGAGAATCAGCTCACGTAGCTGCTTTTCCCGGCGCCTCCCGGCGCCAGGAGGCGCCCATGTATCGAGGAATGGGCCCGGCGGCGGGGGCCGAAACCAGCTGCATGTAGCTGGTTTCGTAACCCCCCCTTTCCCAAACCCCCCCTTTCGCCCGACCCGAGATTAAGGAGGAGTAAGCCCCATTGGGGGCTATTACGCCGGAATGGGCCTCGGATTAAGCGGGATTAAGCCGGATGAAGCGGGATTAAGCGGGCTTGAGCCGGATTCAGCGGGATGGAGCGGGATTAGGCCGGATTCCGGACCAGGACAGGATCAGAATCTGACCTCCCAGGAGTTGCATCCGAACCGATCCGAGGGAGGCCCGGCGGCGGCGAGAAGCCCAGCGCGCTGCGCAACATCCGCTTGCGAGCGCCGCGGCACGGCGCGCTCGGCTGCGCCGCGGGCTGCGCCCTCCCCCCTGCGGCGGGGGACAAGCCTCCCTTTAGTAGACCTCCCCTTAGTGACAACGGCCTGGGACCGAAACCGACGCACCTGGACCGGCAGAAATGCCTGCCGCGACGCCCCCTCGCGAACCGAAAACGGCCAATTCCTCCATCGACGCGTCAGGGCAGGAGGTCTGTCCACCCCAGGCCTCCCCCCTCCCCCTGGCGGCCCCCAGGAGGCCGGTCCGGCATCCCTTCTGCCCGCCTACCCTGGGGCAGGGGGGCCGAGCACACCACACTCAGGTCGGGCCTGTGCCCCTGCAGGGGAAGCGTGGACGAAAAATAAAAAAATACTCCATAAAAATAATCAAAAATGGTGCCCAGACATACTCAAAACATGATCCCCAGACTATTGTTTCTACTACTTCTGAAGATTCCCCCTGTGGAGGGACAGGCCCGACTTAACACCACACCGAGAGCGGCACCACTTGCCCACGTCTGCGCCCCACCACCACCCTCCCGATGGCCACCCCCGCCGCCTCTCTGCCCTGCTCCTTCTGGTTCGCTTCGTCCTCCCTCCTCCTCCTCCTCCTCCTTCTCCTTCTCCTCCTCCTCCTCCTCTTCCTCCCTCCTCCTCCTCCTCTTCCTCCCTCCCCCTCCTCCTCTTCCTCCCTCCCCCTCCACCTCCTCCTCCTCCTCTTTCGTCCCCACTATCCCCAATTCCCTCACAATCTCGTGCTCTGCTTTGCCGACGCCCTCCCTTCGACCCTCCGCACATCTCCCCCCTCCCCTCTCCCGCCTGCCTCCCAATATCTTCCCATCCCTTTCGGGGATGGATAGACCCCCCTTTAGCAAAACGGGGTTTAGTGGAAACGACCTGAGGCCCAAACCTGGCGGGCGCAAGCCTGGAAAATAACGGCCACGGCGCCCTCTCGAAAACCGAAAACGGACAATTCACTAATCGACGTGTCACTGTTGGAGGTTCTGTCCACCCCCGACCCTCCCCAGTCTCGAACACTTCGTGGTGAAAACAAGAGAGAGTCAAAGCCATCCCACACGAGAAATTGTAGACACCCCAAGACAAGCCATGAAAGGGCGGCCTTCTGCCCAACCCCCTGAGCCCTCCGAGGCAGCTCAAATCAGACCCCCTCAAACCAGACCATCCGAAATACACGGCATTGGTGTAGGAGGAAGCCGCGAGGCTGCGCGAAACGGAACAAGGAGCGAAGGACCATGAAAGAGCCAAACATACCAAGGGTCCCACGATCTGGACACGCAGGACCTCGCACCCTCGGTGAGGAGGAGGGAGGACGACGAAGGGGGGATGGTGAAAGGAAAACGCACAAAGACGGGGAGGAAACGGGGAAGCAAAACGACGAAGACGAGGATATGGCGGGGGACGCAATATGTGTATGTATATATATATATATATATAGGTCAATATCCCCCTCTGCTTCGTCCTCCACATTGTCCTCCATCCACCCTCGAACTCCCCCCTCCGGGAGGAATTCGTACCTCCAGTATTCCTCCCTCTTCCTACTCCTCGTTCCCCTCATCTTTGTTGTGCTCCTCGCCGCCTCGTTTTGGTCCTCCCGCGCCCGCGCCTCGAGATCGCCTCCCGCCACCCCTTCCCCTTTTGGCCTCTCGCTGGAACGCTGCCAACAAGATGATCAGGATCACCGTGTAGACGCAAACGAGGGAACAAGGCCTCCCCCGCCCCGACCGCGTCAAGGGATCGCGGGATCGCGGGGCCGGCCGAAGGCGGGGGAGGGAGGAGGAAAGAAGGACAGGAGGGACAGCCGATGACGTCAGAGTTTTGCCCGTTCGGGAAGAGAGGCCTCACCCAAAGGTCCGGGGATGGAGGAAAGACAAACGGGAAGAAATCAGGGGGGTGGGGGGGGAACGGTCGGAGAAACATCGGCAACACCAACGAGGGTGCAAGGTCTGCTTCGCCTGGGACCAAGAGCTCGTCACCCTCACGCTCGCCCGCCTGTCATCGTCGTGATTTTCCTTTTCCAGCTCCTTATCATCATCCTCCGCGTCACCGTCGCCGTCACCATCATCCTCATTACAAACATCACCATCGTCACACGTCTGCCCGTTTCTCACCGCCGGACCATTCTCTCCTTCCATTCTCTTCGACCCTCATCCTCATGATCCTCCTGTGTACGGAATCCCGAATGTCCCGCGGGGGAACAAACTCATGTCCACGCCTAAAAGGGACCGACGCCGCTCGGATGGCCCGCGCTGTCCAAAGATGCACCGGGACATCGTGTCGCGAACACGAACAGCACTTGCCACTCCCTGTGGATATCGAACGGCCATCTGCTTTTGTATAGAAGGGCTGTCCCGATTGCAAGCGCCTTTAAGCATATGCGCAACTAGTTTTGCCCAGCACGCGAAAAATACGACAACTTTTCCTTCACGCAGCCATCCGCTACATATAGGTCGCCACACAGCTGCCAAGTGACGCTGCAGCAAGCGAGGACTGCCTGCAGCGCGGATCAGGCCCAACTGATGACATTGCACAGAAGACTGGCGCGCATAATCTGCGCAACGCTGCAGACCGCGTCGGCGTGCGAAACCGCAGCACGTCGCCAGACAACAAGCAGCGGACGACAGACGAACGACGAGGCTCCGCTGGGGAGGGGAGGGAGGGCCCGCGGGGAGCGTCCGCGCCCAGCGCAGCCACGCACTGGCCCGGGCGCCGCGGCGGCACGCCGCGCGCCAATGGCCGCCCGGCGGCGCCGATGCCGGCCGCCATGTGGCCAATGAGCTCCGCGAGCTCTGGGCCCCGCAGGCCGCCTAGCGCGGCGGGCAGCCGCCACTGCAGCTGCCAGCGCCCCCAAAAGGTCCCAAGAGGCCCCCAATAGACACCCAGGACGCCCTAAGAGGCTGCGGCGAGAAGGCGAGTTAGCCCTTCCCTCCTCCCCCCCCCGAGTCTGGAGAGGGGGGGTCAGCGAGGGGATAGACCGTCCAAAACAGCCTCGGCGAGAAGGCAAACATCACTGATGTTACTAAGATTTTGGCCACACGTTGGCCTCCTGGGGTGGTGATCCTAGTTTACTGCGGTCCTCTCTCTGATCGACATGCTCCAAGATGACCCCAAGATGGACCCCGAGGCCCCACATACGAGATGCACAGCAACAAGATGCCCGTCTTGGCTGCTAACATGAAACGTACCTCCGAGCGCGCCGCCAGAATTACGGTGGCGCCTGCAACTTGAGACGCGAGGCCGCCGCCCGGACTGGCGGCGGCCTCGAGAAGCGAGCGCGAAGACAGGCAAATTAGGACGGTGGCCGCACGACCCGCCGCCGTCAGCACTTTTTAGTCAGCGGCCGCAGGCGAGAGCGCCAGCGGCGAGTCCGGTCAGAGCGGACCGCGCAAAGACGAATTAACCTAAAGCGGTGGGCCGAAGTCTCACGCAGCACCTCGGCGGGCAGCGCCGCCGTCAGTACGCGCAGCTCTGGCCCGTGGACGAAGGCGAGGGGAGGACGCAGGCGAGGAGGGAAGCTCCATCGCGCCAGGCAGGGGCCGCACAGGCGCGGACGCCACCACCACCACCACCAGGACCACCACCATCAGCAGGGCGCCGCCGCGTCGCAGAGCCGCCGCGTCACCTCGAGGCTCCCATGGTGCCTTAAGAGGAGCCACAGAGGAGCCCAGGAGACCCCAAGAGGCCCCCAAGATGCCCCCAAGGTGCCTCCTAAAGGCCCCTAAAAGACTGCCAAGAGACCCCCAAAAGGTCCCAAGAGGCTCCCCGTAGGCAACCAAGTCGTTTCAAGATGCCCGCGGACCCGCCAAAAGGGCCCCCAAGAGGCTCGAGAGGCCCACACCAAACTCTCACGAGATATCCGAAGAAACTCCGAGAAGCCTCCAAGAGGCCTCTGGCATGTTTTGCTCGCCCTCCTCCTCCTCCGCTTCCTCGTCCGCCTAATCCTCCTTCCTCCTTACCCTCTCCCTCCTCCCTCTCCCTCCTCCCTCTCCTCCTTCTCCTACTCCTCCTCCTCATCCTCCTCCTCCTCCTCCTCCTCCTCCTCCGCGTCCTCGTGCTCCTCCTCCTCCTCCTCCTCCTCCTCCTCCACCTCCTCTTTCTCCTCCTCCTCCTCCTCCTCCTCCTGCTCCTCCTCCTCCTCCTCCACTGGTTCCTCCTCTGGTTCCTCCACTGGTTTCTCCTCAATGTTCCCCCTCTTGGGGTATGACGGCTTCCAAAGCCTCTAACCGACCCCCTGATAGTAATCTTTATGAAATGAGGAAGTTCGGCGCCCAGGGGAAGAATAAACGGAGATCGCAACACGATGATGAAGATGATGACGATATTGATGATGATGATCCTGGGTGGTCCATAGAGAGCCTTGGGAATCATTAGAAACCCTTCCAGGAAACCCATCGGATCCCGTACGACATCCATAGGATTCCTTAGGACATCTATCGGAATCCTCGGGACATCCATCGTGTTCCTTAAGAAATCCATCGGGTGCCTTAGGACATCCATCGGAATCCTTCGGAACCCTTGGGATCCTTTAGGATATCCATAAGACTCCTCCGGAAACCCATCGGGTCCCTTAGGATACCCATCGGATTCCTTAGGGCGTGCATCGGACTCTGTAGGAAACCCATCGGATTCCCAAAGACATCCATAGGATTCCGTCGGAAACCCATGGGATTCCTCAGGACATCCATTGGAACCCCAGGGGGGTACATCAGAATCCCAAGAAACCCCATTGGTTTCTCAGGAAACCCATCGCGTTCTTCAGGAAATCCCCAAGGAGGAGGAGGACGAGGAACCCCAGAACAAATGTTCCAAAACAACCTCGGTTCGGGAACTTCGTTTTTTGTATAACATAATTAGTTTGCATCGTTTTTGGCACATGTGTATAACATCCACGCTTGCGGTGATTAAAAAACAGTTCGGGACGGAGGCGCAAGCGCAGAACGTTTTCCCAGAGACCGCAGCATAATGATGTAAATGATGACGAGGATGCTGATGATGATGATGATAATGCTGATGATCTTGGGTGTTCCATAGGAAGCCTCAGGGCATACATATGAAACTCTGCAAGAAACAAGCCATCATATTTCTTAGGACATCCATGTAAAAGAATCCGGAGGACATCCATGTGAGTCCTTCGGACGCCGTCCAATCTTTCGAAACCCTTGCCACTCAACATGCGAAGGTACAACTTCGACTCGCAACGCTTCCCACCGATAATCCAATTCGGCCTTGCCGCCCGTCTCCCCCGACCAAATCGGCACTGGGCGGGGACACGGGACTCTCAGGGATGAAGGGGGCGGGTCCCCCACATGCGTGCGCCCCCCACGTGCCTGATGAAGGCAACTCGCCTGGGCAACCTTTCTGGATGGGCTGGTGGGGTTACTTCTGCTCGCAACCGCAAGCGGACAGCCGCGCGGCGTCGAGGAGTCGCACGAAAACCAAGCCTACAGTGAGCAGGACAGGACTGGTGGGGTTGCGCGAAGCTTCTAGAACTTGTTCCAGGGCCCAAAACCGTCCTCCAACGGCACTTTCCTTCAGCACCCGGTCCGCAAGGAACCTCCCACAAGAAACCCAACCCGGAGACTCCAGGACGTTCGCGTTCCATCTGGATTTGGACGCCCGAAATAGGTACGGAAATAATGGGTACAATGCCCAACAACAAATGTTGTCCCAAACCGACAGCGGCCGCTGTTGGGCAGGCGGCCTTCTGTCTCAAATGGACACAAGCCGCGGCGGCGTGGACAGCGAGTCCTGTTCACAATGAGCCGGAACTGCTGTTGGGCATTGCACGCATTCTTTCTGTACTCATTTCGCGCGTGCAGACTGGAAGCAAGCAGGGTCTCTTGGCATGGGTCTCTGCTGTATGTTGGTTGACTTCTGCTTGGCCCCCCCCCTCCGCAGCGGCGGCCCCGGCGACGCGAGCAGCCCTGCAGGCGGGCAGCGCTGCGCCCCGCTCCGCAAGAAGGGAGGCAGAGAGCAGCTCAGGAACCCAAGTTTTGTTTGAGACCACGTATAGGGCGCCCACAAAGGACGTACGCGCCCAACTATGTACATGAACACGGCCCCTCGATCCGCGAGACTGGCCGCGTTATACGAACATTTGCGAAAGGCGTACCGTCGAAACCAGCGTGGATTCATGTACGTGTACGTCCTTCTGTCGCTCCTGACCGTAACACGCGTTATGTGGCTGGGTGGGTGGGTGGGCTCGCTGGCACATAACACAATCGCGCCGAACCGGTCGAATTTTCTAGATGAGAACACTGTCATGAGCAGCAGGCGCTGTTGCAACGGGACGTGCGGGCGGCGGGCGTTATGTTATCTCCTGGGTGGGTGGGTCAGTTTGGGGCCACATAACGCGCGTCATGTGCTCGAGTACAAACAAACTTCAGCTCCAGGACGATGGCGCTGTGGGACCTGCTCTCCACCTCCGTACTCGCACTCCCAGAAACCCAGGATCCAAAAGCGGGGTCGACCCCAACTTTGCTGTGGCGGGGCCGGGACCGGGGGTAACGAATCAGCTCAAGTAGCTGATTTTCCCGCAGTGCCTTCTGGCGCTGGAGGCGCCAAACGTATCGAGGAAACCGCCTGGCGGCTGGCGAAGCCAAGAGAACACAATCGAACGGGGAAGAGTCGGAGATCCCTGAGACCTGGCAGTTCTTTGAGCAAGGACCGACAGTCAGGGCATTCCTATAGCCCTACCACGAAATTTTCTTAGAACCCACAATTGTTCAAATTGCACAAACAATGTTCTTAGAACGTAGACCTGACGTGTCAAAACAAGACAGACTCCGCCAGAAATGTTCTAAGAACATTTCGTGGGAACCTCAAAGGGCTCTTAGAACGCCGCTTGGTAAGGCTATAGGCGAGCCAGGACGCTTCGCCACTGCTTGAGCTCTGCAAGATGCATCTGGCCCCGCGGCCGGTCCAGCGAGCTGTGGAGCGCTCTGCTGGCCTTCCGGCACGCTCTCGAGCGCCTCCTCCCGGCCCTGGCCCCGACCGCGATCCCCGCTGCCCGTTTCCCACCCCGTGGCACAGGTCCTCGCCCTTCGGCTCTCCGGCTAAGGGGCTCGGGCCGACCTCGGGCGAGCATCTCGAACACCCCTTCCCCCCCTCCCCCCCCCCCCGACCGCAGACCCGCCTCCTCTCGGGAGCGGCCAAGGGGGGGGCGTCCAAGAGGGGGGGGTCCAAATCATGACCGGCGGCATGTGCGCGGCCCAGCGGGGGGGCCAGGGACGTAATGAAATAAGAAGAGGCGCCATGAAACCTGGGGAAATATCATGGCCCCCGCCATGATATCCCCCCCCCCAGTCATCACCCCCTCTTTTCCGCCCCGGATCCTCCCCGCCTGGACCCACCCCCCCTCGGTCCTCTGCGCGGAGAGACGGCAGTACGTCGTGAGCGCCGCCCTCGGCGAGATGCTCTGCGAGGGCCTGCGGCGCCGCGCCCGCGGCCGAGGAGGGCGGGGTTGGCGGGGCCGGGAGCGCCCAGAGCCCGCCTCCTCTGGAGGGGAAGAGGCAGGAGGAAGAGGAGGAGGAGGAGGCAGGAAGAGGAGGAGGAAGAGGAGCAGGAGGGAGGAGGAGGGAGGAGGAGGAGGAGGGAGGAGGAGGAGGAGGAAGAGCAGGAGGAGGAGGAGGAGGAGGAGGAGGAGGAGGAGGGACTGGAGAGGACCCGCGGCGCGCCTCCCGCTTCCCGCCTCCACTCGGGCCCCGTTGCGCCACCTGGCGCGCCACACGGAGCTGCCAGGTGGGGGCACCAACACCAACACAGGGGAGCTGCCTCCACAGGGGGCAAACCTACCTCGCTTTTGACCACCATCGCTTCCAAGAGATACCAAGCGATGCCAAACTACGGCCTGTACTGGTCAGGCCGCTTGACGAAGAGGCACGTGGTATGACTTGGTTTTGCCTGGAAGCGAAAGCGGGGTAGGTAACTCACGCTCTGAGAAGAGGATCCTAGACTTCGGTGCCGGTGGCAATATGTCGGCCGCCCAGGGAACCAGAATCTCACCACCACCACCGAGGCCGGGATTTCCTTCCCTCGGTGGAGGCACGCCGCCGATGTTGGTGTGGGTGCCAACCTCGAGGCCTCCTGGTCCTCCCTTGCTTGTCGCGACCTTAGCGGGCCCTGGAAACGACAAGGCCGTTTTTTACCGGCTCCGTTTTGCAAATTTGTTGCAGGTTCCGACGCCGTTTTTCTGCCGGTTCCGCCGCCGTTTTTGGACCGGTTCGGGCTCCAGCTCCAATCCTGGAGCCGTTTCTGTTGCCGTTTCCGGTCGCCGTCGTTGTGCCGCTTCCATGTTCGAGGGACGCTCTTTTTTTGGGAAGCGGTGACAAAACGGCCCGGCCGTTTCCGGGGCCCACTAGAAGGTCCCGACGCCCGAGCACTCTTTCACGTCGGCGGCGAGGTTTGGCGGCGCGCAGAGGGGGGTAGGGGGGGGGGGAGTCTTCTTAGAAGCACCCCTGCTTCTTAGAAGGCGCGGGCCTTCTCTATAGACGTAAGGCCGAGGCCTTCTAAGAAGCAGAGCGTTTCTAAGAAGCCTTCCCCCCTCCCCCTACCCCCTTTTGCGCGCCGCCAAGAGGCGAGTGCTGCGCCTCCGCGAGCGGTAATCCAAGGGCGACCGAAGCGCGAAGGCGCCGGCGTGCAACGAGGGGGAGCAGAAGGTAAGGGCGAGGCGGCCGTGGAGGACAGGGAGGAGGAGGAGGAGGAGGAGGAGGAGGAGGAGGAGGAGGAGGAGGAGGCAGGAGGCGGAGGAGGAGGGGAGGAGGAAAAAGGAGGAGGAGGAAAAAGGGGAGAAGGAGGAGGACGAGGAGGAGGAGGAGGCGAGTGCTGCGCCTCCGCGGGCGGTGATCCAAGGGCGACCGAAGCGCGAAAGAGGCCGGCGTGCAACGAGGGGGAGCAACAGGTAAGGACGAGGCGGCCGCGGAGGACAGGGAGGAGGAGGAGGAGGAGGAGGAGGAGGAGGAGGAGGAGGAAAAGGCGGAGGCGGAAGAGGAGGAGGAGGAGGAGGAGGAGAAGGCGGAGGAGGTGGAGGACATGTTTTGCCCGAGGGGCTCCAGCCGCGTCTGGCCAGCAGTTCAGGCCAGTCCAAAAAGGGAGAAGCAGCGGCGGCGACGGCTGCACCTCCACGCAACGCCAGCTGCAGGAGAGAGCGATGGGGGATCGCACGAACGTGCTGGACCACGGTCGGGGCAGCGCCCCCGTGGCCTAGTCTGACTCGTCCGAGACCTCCCCCCCGCTCCCCGTCGCCTCAGGCGGCGGAAGACCTCCTGCAGCTCTAAGGAGGCGCTGCACTTTCTCTTGAAACGCAGCAGCTCGAGTCGGCACAGGCCCGAGCGGCGCCACATCGTCCCCTAGTGCCTGGGCATCCCCAGCACTTCCCAGAACGGCCCTCAAACCAGGAGCTGGTTGCTCAGGCACTAGGGGTGGGGCTGCACAGCTCGCTGCAGGCGGTGCAGCCATGCGATGGTGGGGCGGTGTTCGCCCGCTCTGCCTCGGGGCGCCAGGCTGGCTGGCCTCGCGAGGAGCAGAGGGTGCAGAAAGAGAGATGAGCGGAGCTTCATCTTCCTGTCGTTCCAAAGCGTCCTTCTCTTCTGGGCTCAAGGCCCGCACAACACCACAAGGATGCTCCGGCACAACCGAAGGGGCTTCACAGCTCGCGTCGGCGCAAGGAACGGCAAAGGACTCGCTGTCGGCAGCGGCCCCTTCCAACACTGAATTGCCAAGAAGGGAGCTAGCTCGAGTCGGCTCGAGCCTCGCAACAGGCATTGTCGCAGCACGCAAGGGTGGCGATGTTCGCCCCATGTGATGCGAGGCGCCAGGTTGGCAGGCCTCAGGCAAAAGGCCGGACTGCACAGAGCGAATTACTAGCGGAGATTCGTCCTCCTGTCGATCCAGAGCATCCTCCTCCCGAGAGCCTAAAGCTCGCACGACGCTGACAGGATGCTCTGGCACGGCAGGTGGGGCAGCGCAGCTGGCGGGGTCGAGAGGGCCTGCGTCTGCCTTGCTGTCGGCAGCTTTGGGAAGTGTCGCGCCCCGCGCCTCTTCGGCACCACCAGGGCCCTCGGCCTGCTTTTTTGCTGGCTGCGTGCTGTGCTCGCTGCCCACATCTCGAAGCCTCCCAGATGGGGTCGGAGGGTCGCGCCGCATCGCCGACACATCGGCGATGCATCGGCGACGTATCGGCGATGCACCAGCGATGCATCGGCGATGTATCGGCGATGCATCGGCGACGTCGACGTGAAGCACATCGGGTTCCACACCGAACCGCATCGGCGATGCATCGGCGATGCGGCGCGATCCTCCGACCCCATCTGCTCGGACCCCATCTAGGAGGCCTAGAACATCTGTGTCTTCGATCCGCCTGGGCTGCAGATCGACATCGAGACGCTGGCCATCGCTCGATCGTCCATTTCCTGTGTATCTTCCGGTGTCGTGCGTGGTTTTCTCGCCAAATGGTCGAGGATGCTCCTCGAAGGTCCTCGCCGAGGAAAAAAAAGCACACGTCCGAGCGATGCCAAGGACGGAGACGGCCAGCGCGGTCGCCAAGGCACCTTTCAGGCCGACCACCCGTGCTCGGCACGGCCGCGCCGGGGCCGAGGCCCGTCCACGCCCCCAGATCCGATGCTGTCGATCGTCGCGTGGCCTCGTGTCTCTCAGGGGCGTCCGAAGTTAAAAGAGGTCCCTCAGAGGCCCCGAAGAGGTTCCCACGAAGGCCCCCAGGAGGCCCCGAGAGGGCCTCCAGAGCCCTCCTCTCCTTCCTCCTCCCCCTCCTCGTCATCCTTTCGCTTCCTCTCCCGAATGTTCTCCAGAGGGTTCCACAGCGGCTGGGGGAACTTATCATCCGGTAGCGTGCCCAGCCTTTACTCCGGTCCAGCGTTTGGCCGCGCGGAGGGCTCCAGCGGCAGGGGGCGGCGGCGTTTCGCCGTAGGCGTCTTCGGTGATCTCTGTTATGCTGTGCACCCGCTTCCCTCTGTGCCCTCTACAATCAACTCTTGGACCATGGCCGCAGATAATATCCTCTCTCTATCCCGTCTCTCTCTGTCTCTCCCTCCCTCTCCATGCCTCTCTCTCTCTCTCTCCCGCTCTGTCTCCCTCGCTCTCTATACCTGTCCATGCTTCTACGTTATAAGCGTCAACCTGCGCTGCACTGCAGTATCTGATCGGTGTACTGTCTCTGCTTGACTCTGCTCTCCTCTCTCTGCTATGCCGTCTCTACTTCCTACAGACTTGCTCTCTCATCCTGATCCTGGCTGCTAGGACCTGGGTACGGCTGAACAAGAAAACGGCCCACCGAGAACGGACCAAAACCTGGAACCAGGAACCAGAGAACCCGGGCGCCAACGAACACCAACCTAGCTTTTTCGCCAGGGAGAAGGACGAAGAACCCGGGATCCCAACCGCCAACCGAAATCGACCAACAACTTACGCCAAGTCCTTCGGCATCCGCTCGAACCTCCCCCGTGCAAGCGCTGAATCAGGAATTTGAGTCGGAGGCGAAAGCGAGCTGATTGGGGGTCGAGGAGCTTCAAAGCTGCTCTATGCTGTCCGACAATTCGTTCTAGCCCCACATCCTTGAAAACCCATTCTGGGAATCCATCTCCTCTCTGATGCACATCTCAATGGTGCTCGCCATGCTGCAAAGACGATGTGGCCCCGAGGTGCGTCGGGCTGGCCTCAGGGAGCTCTGCGAACTCCGCCTGGACCTGACCTCGACAGCGACACCGTCATGGCTCCAAGCCTGCGAAGGCGGTCCTTCTCCTCCCCCTCCTCCTCGTAGTCCTCCTCTTCCTCCTCTGCCAATGCGTTCGTGCCGTGCGGGGCCTTTGACATGTGCCTCGGCGGCCACGGTCGCCGTTGCCGCACTGCCCAACCGCTGAACATCGGACGTGGTGCGACAGGAGACGTGATCTCCTCCTGCCCCCCTCCTGCTAATCCGCCTGATCCATCCATCCCCAATCGTCGAGACGCGGGCCAGCGCCGTCATGCCTCGCGCCGTACCTCCCTTTTTGCAGTGTAGCGTTGTTGATGTGTTAGCCAGCGTGGACCCCACACAGGGTGGTTTAGCATACGATGTGGCGCAAACGACGTGGTACCAAGTATGATGTGACAGCTATATGATGCAGACAATGTGGCGCAATACGCTAACGCGTACGTGAAAATATACACGCAACGAGCGATGTGGTGCAAACCATGTAAAGCAATGCGCGTGGTTCACGCTATGTGTTAAAATCCGCGTCGTGCGATCTCCAATCGGCATTTCACTTGCCGAACCCGAAATTGACAACTCCACTGCTCGTGCAAACATCCCACCCACCCACCCGCAACTTTGTTTGCAAAACCCATGCGGGAGCGATTGGGATGAGTGCTAGGTGTTGGCTGGTGCATATGCGGCCGCGCTAGCCCGCGCATGCTCGCACGCGCAGCGGCCAGCTAGTTTGGCGCGAACGACGCGAAAGCGGTGGCGCTGACCGCCCGGCACATCCCAGCGGGCGCTTCAGTGCGAGTCGGCGATTTGGGCGGGCGCGGTATCATAGCAACGTCGACAACGGTAGACACGTTGATGATCAAGCGATGGTGATGGCGATGCTGGCAGCGACGACGGGGCAGCCAGTGACGGCGCCGATGCTGATCACGCCGACGACGACGACGGCGTCTTCGCGTCGGTGATGCAGGTTTCGGAAGGACTTCGGAAAGCGCACGCGACAGACGCGCGAGACCGGCTCGCATGGCATTATTTGACACGGATCGTGCCACCCCAACACGCGCGCAAGGGCGTTCGAAAGATTTCGACATGAGTGCGCGCGAAGCCCGTTTGGTATCACTAGATTAAAAAATATTGACAAGCGTATGGTTCGCTTGAGAATTCGCACGAACGCGCACGCTTTTGTTGAACATCCGTGTTGCGAAACCCTATGTTGTTTATGTTTATTGGACACTCGATTTTGAACCTTTCCGAAACCTACGGTGTTTGAAGGATTTCGGCATGCGCGCGCGACGACGCGCGCGTGTGCACTTCGTCTCATTTGTTGCAGGGGCTTCTTGAAAACTTGGAATTCGTGATAAACGACTGCGCACGCAAAACATTTCTTCCAATGGATGACTGGGGGTACCGATACCGGTCTGGCTGGGGAGAGCCTGAATTCACAGGTAGGATGGACATTGGGTCAGAATCATGTTGTGTGTGTGTGTGTCTTGCATCGGTTCCCGGGGAGTCGGTAAGTCTGGGGGGAGAGGGTGGAACAACATATGTTTTGTTGATGAGAAAGGGGAATGTACGTGGTGCAATCAATGTAAACTAGTTGGTGGTGCATATATATATATATGTATACGTGTGTGCTTTGGGATACGTGATGCAGTCTGTGTGGTTCAACGTATGTGGAGCAATGTGCGTTAAGCAATCCAGGCGGTCATCTATACATATAAACAAACATATACGTAAACATATACATATACATTTACATACACATTTACATAAACACAAACATATACATATGCATATGCATATACAAATGCAAGCACATACATACACACATACATACACATATATAGCTCATAAATAATCTATACACCAGTGTGTATGCGTGGCGCATTACATGTAATACAATAGTTCTAGTGCCGCATCAAAGGTATAAGCTCCGTGATGCAGTCCAGATTACGCGAAGCACGTGATGTATACTGTGGTGCACACTGTGATTATCTTGCAGGTTGTTGCACCCTATGTGGGGCGAACAATATTCACCTACATATATATATATATATATATGTATTTACAGACATACATCTATATATATATATATATAAATATGGGTGTACATAAGAGTAAGGGCGCCGAACGGTCATTCATTGTCCCCGGGTGCGTGGCTGACTAAAGGATTCGAGGTAGGAATTCTGCTTGTTGCGTTGTTGTTGTTGCTGTTTGTTGTCGTCGTTCCACCTGCGACCCACCCGCGACCCGCCCCGCGACCCACCCCGCGACCCCGCGGCCCACCCCGCGACCCACCCGCGACCCAACCCGCGACCCACCCGCGACCCACCCCGCGACCCACCCGGCGACCCACTCGCGACCCACCCCGCGACCCACTCCGCGACCCATCCGCGACCCATCCGCGACCCACCCGCGACACACCCCGCGACGCACTCACGACCCACCCCGCGACCCACCTTCAAAAGAGGAAAAACCACCCGGACCCGACAATTGACGTTTCTTAAACGGCCCTGGCCGTTTACTAAACAGCCCTGCCCTGTTCGATTCATTTCTTGTGCGTTTACGAAACGGCTTCGCTTGTCGGGGTGATTCTTATGGGGTGGATTTGTCTGCCCTGTACACCCGCGACCCACCCGCGACCCACCCGCGACCCGTTCGCGACCCATCCACATTGGTTTGATCGGCTCCTGCGGCGGGCTCGTGGTATAATGTGTGAAACTTTGGCGCCTGCGGCGGGCTTCTCCAGAGTGGCGCGAAGCGCCGACGTCCCCATCGCCACCTGACTCGTATCCGCATCTGCGGGGTGCTACGTGTATATATATATATATATATACATATACATATGTATATTGATATATATATATATAAATGTTTATGTATATACATATATATATACATATATACATATATACATATATATATATATATATCCGGCACGCCTTGTGGTGCAACCAATGTTATTCAACCAGTGTACGTGCAATATATATATATATATATGTATATAGAGATATGTGTCTACATATATAGTTATATATCTATATGTGTATAAATGTGTATATATAAATACATGAGCGTACTCCGTTGTGCAAGTTTACGTGGTGTGCGCTATGTGGTGCACTCTGTGCGGTGCTGTGCTGCAGCAGGGCGGCGGCGACGCGGGGCGCCGAGCTCGCCACGGGGCGGCGGCGCGGGGGCGGCGGGGCGACCACACGCCGGCAGTGGGCGACGCACCGAGCCCAGGCTCGTCGCGGGCTCGTGTGCCGCACACGAGCCCGCGACGAGCCCGCGACGAGGCGACCCCACGGGGCGGCGACGGGGCGATACCAAGCCGGCCCCGGGCGCCACGCGAGCACGGTTTTTTGCGAGGCCCCGAGGTGCAAGTACTGATTGGGGAGTCGCTCGCCCATCTCCCCCGCTTGCGTCCTGCAAAGTGCCCCGCCCCAACCCTCTCCATGCACGAGTGCACTCCACACAGGAGGAAAGTGGGTCGCTCATGGTGTTGCGTTCGGCCGAAGCGTCTTCGGTGCCCCAGAGTTGCGCTCCCGCTGCAGCCCTCCGCCTTGCCTTGGTCCTCCTGCTCCTCCCGCCCCTGCTCCTGCTCCTGATGTTCCTCCTCGTTGTGCTGGGGTGGCTTTCAGAAAGGAGCTTGTGCTGCGCAGCGGTCACCGCACAAGCAGCAACTGGCTTCTGCTGAGACGTCGCAAGTGTGCTCACACATGGTGAGATACAGATGATGGCTCCCGCAGTGTCTTGCGCGCCTGCTGTCCAATGGCCTCTTGAGGCCCCGCAAATGTCATGCGCGGGCTGGTTGTGCCTCAACGGCTCCACTCGCAGCGTATCCAGTAATGGCTAGCGGGCGCTTTCTTTGGGGGTTCGCCCTCCGCGGGTGTCCACCTGTGTCTGAATGGCTGGATGGCTGTATCGCTGTTCGGTCGGCTCGTTGGTTGGTCGACTGGCGGATTGATATGATTGTTCGGTTGGCTGGCTGGCTGGCTGGATAGCTGGCTGAATCTGGGCCACCGCCCACGCGACTGGCCGCCCGACAGGCGAAACGAGCGCGCGACTGGTGCCCGACAGGTGAACGAGCACGCAACCGGCACCCCGAGAGGTGAATCCAGACTTCTGGAACTGGCTGCCGCGTTGGCTTGCCCTCCCCACTGTCCGCTAAACTCCTCGCTCCCCATCTGCTGGAGGGAGAGCTGGAGCCTTCGGACTCCCGTCCAGGGAGAGCGGCCCGCGCGGCGGCTCGGCGAAGAGGCCCCGGAACTCGTCCCAGGTGACGAGGGCCTCGTGGCCGGCCTGCCCAGCCGCAGCTCGTCCGGGGCGAGGGCGTGGACGACGGCGGCGGCGGCGGAGACGAAGGCGACGGCGACAACGACGCGCACGCCGACGGCGGCAAGGACAGCGACGACGAAGAAGGCGACGAGCAGCGGCCCGATGGGGCGGCGCACGGCGACGGCGTCGGAATCGACGGCGACGAGGGCGACGAGGGCGCGGCGGCGGCGACGAGCAGCGGCCCGAGGGGCGGCCTCCGCGCCGTCGGCCAGCAAGCGGCCGCACGCGTGCCGCGAACCGTCCGCCTGCGGCGCCGCCCGCCGCCGCCGCCGCCGCCGAAGCTCTCGCCGTCGCCGTCGGAGGCGCGGTGCACCCTCCTCCTCCTCCTCCTCCTCCTCCGACCTCCTCCTCCTCCTCGTCCTCCTCCTCCTCCTCCTGCTCCTCCTCCCCCTCCTCCTCCTCGTCCGAATCCTTCTCCTCCTCCTCCTCCTCCTCCTCCTCCTCCTCCTCCTCCTCCGCCTCCTCCTCCTCCTCCTCCTCCTCCCCTTATCGTCCCTCCTCCTCCTCCTCCTCCTCCTGCTCCTCCTCCTCCTCCTCCTCCTCCTCCCACCTCCTCCTCACCTCTCCGCCTCCTCCTCCTCCTCCTCCTTCCTCATCCTCCTCCGCTCGCGTCTTCCTCCTCCACCTCCTCCTCCTCCACGTCCTCTTCTTCATATCCCCCCTTCTTCTCCTCCTCCTCGCCTCCTTCCTCCTCCCTCTCCCGATCCTCCCTGCCCTCCTCCCTCCTCCCTCCTCCCTCCCCCTCCTCCCTCCTCCTCCTCCTCCCCCTCCTCCTCCTCTCCTCTCCCCCCTCCTCCCTTCTCCCTTCTCCCTCCTCCTCCTCCTCCTCCCTCCTCCTCCTCCTCCTCGTCCTCCTCTCCTCCTCCTCCTCCTCCTCCTCCTCCACTCCTCCTCCTCATCCTCCTCCTCCTCCCCTCCTCCCCCCCTCCCCCCTCCCCCCCCTCCCCCCTCCCCCCTCATCCCTCCCCCCTCCTCCCTCCTCCCTCCTCCCTCTCCCCTCCTCCCTCCTCCCTCCTCCCTCTCCTCCTCCTCCTCCTCCTCCTCCTCCTCCTCCTCCTCCGCTTTTGGCGGTGTGCGTCGCGAGCAGGAACACAGCAAAGCCTTAGGAGAGCGCGGCATTGGCAGCGCAGCTCCGCGCACGTGACACACGTTTACGAGCAGGAACACAGCAAGGCCCCAGGAGAGCGAGACATTGACAGTGCAGCTTGACATTGACACGGTGGTGGCCAGGGAGCTCTCTGGATGCCCGTCTCCGGCCACGTCGGAGGCGCACGAACGTTTGCCCTCTGGCTGCCCGTCTCTGGCCCTGTCGGAGGCGTGACTGCCCGTCTCCAGCCCCGTTGGAGGCCTGCTGCGCGAGCGCTTGCTGCGGATGCCCATCTCCGACCCCGTCGGAGGCGTGGTGCGCGAACGCTTGCCCTCTGGATGCCCGTCTCCAGCCCCGTCGGAGGCGTCGTGCACGAACGCTTGCCCTCTGGATGCCCGTCTCCGGCCCCGTTGGAGGCGTGGTGCGCGAACGCTTGCCCTCTGGATGCCCATCTCCGACCCCGTCGGAGGCGTGGTGCGCGAACGCTTGCCCTCTGGATGCCCGTCTCCGGCCCCGTCGGAGGCGTCGTGCACGAACGCTTCCCCGTTGGAGTCGTGGTGCGCGAACGCTTGCTCTGGATGCCCGTCTCCGGCCCCGTCGGAAGCGTGGTGCGCGAACGCTTGCCCTCTGGATGCCCATCTCCGGCCCCGAGACAGGCAAGCATCGGTCCAAGATGAACCTGCCAGGTTGGGCCCTGGGAGCGCCCGGAGACAGATGTTTCGAGCAGATTGGCCGTCGCAGTCATTGCCGTCGCAGCGTCGCAGTCGCAGTCGTTGCCAGCCGGCCAGCGATCGTCGTAGTCGTTGCCGTCGCAGCGTCGCAGCAATCGTAGCAGTCGTCGGAAAAGGGGCGGGGGGGAGGGGGGCTTCCGAGGACGGGGGCAGAGGAGGGGGAGGAGAGGGGGAGGAGGGAGGAGAAGCATCAGGGAGAGTGATACGAGTGGAAATGGGGAGGGCGAAGGGGGGAGGATGTGGAGAGGAGGGGAGAGGCTGTGAGAGGATGGGTGACCACAGCGAACGGATGGATGAGGGGGGGGCTGTGAGGAGGGGGGCGACATGCCCACCCCCGGTGGCCACGCAACTGCAGAGATAGACGTGCGCGAGGACGGGGAAACATGAGCAGAAGGAGAGTGAGGAAGAGGAGGAGGAGGAGGAGGAGGAGGAGGACGCGGAGGGGGAGGGGGAGGAGGAGGAGGAGGAGGAGGAGGGGGAGGAGGAGGAGGAGGAGGAGGCGGATGCGTTGAGACTCGGTCCTGGCCGCACGCCGAGCTGCCGGCTCGAGTCGCTCCCGCACCCCGATCTTGAACCCTTGGGGCCTGGAGCAACGCACGAGCATGGGCCCCCAAGGCCGGGCCGGGCGGCCACCTCTGCGCCCAAGGATCTGACACCGACAGGGACCCGCGGACGTCTGGCGGAGGCGGTGCACGGTGCCGACCGCGGACGCGGGGCTGGCGGGACAGCAGGGCACCGACACTTCGGCTCCACGGGCCTGTCCTGCGGGGTGCCACCCGACCAGGATCCCGAGGAGGGCCAGGCCGTGGAGACGAGGGCCACACAGGACGCGCGGCGCTGCAGCAGCTTCGTGTCGTGACGAGCCCGGCGTCGGCCTCTGACGCCCCCCTGGGACCGCTCGACGTCGAACGATCGCCAGCTGCTCAGCAGCCAGATCGTTCGACCTTGGCCCCTCCTGGGCCACTGACATATAGGGAGCCCACAAAAAAACGTACGCGCCCAGCTATGTGCATGAACGCGGCCCCTCGATCCGCAAGACTGGCCGAGTCACACGAACATTTTTGCGCAATGCGTACTCTCGAAACCAGCGTGGCTTCAGGTAATTACGCGTACGTCCTTCTTTCGCTCCCGAACATAGCATATCAAGGAAACGGGCCCTGACGGAAACTGGGTCTTGGACCCTGGGCCTTGCCCCAGGACGAGCTCTTCACCCCGAATCGCTTCCGGACGGCCCCGGGGCCCGTGGAGGGCCCTCAGAAGGCAGGCAGCGGCGAGAAAAACCTCAGGACCCGCTGCCCTCAGAACGCACTCCACGGCGGCTGACGCCCGCGGCTGGGTCGCCGCCGCGGTCACACGGCACGAACCGCTACCGCCTCTGTCCCTGACTACCTACCAGACCACCCCACCCGTACAGCGAAGACCGAAAGCCAGCGCGCCTTCAGAAAGGAGCAGGTCCAGGCCTTCATCGGCGTGGCCAGCGGCGCCGAATCCCGAACCGCGCGACACCTCCTCCTAGGTCGTGCGAATCGGTCGCGCTCGACGCCAGATCGGTCGGGCGTTATCTCGTCCTCCCATCGACGCGGCGACGTCCCGACTCCCATGATCTGCCACCGAACGCCGAGGGGTCCACCTCCGTCGTCGTCGCCCAGGTAGCGAACGTTCGAGGGTCGCGCAGAGTCGTCCGCACTGGACCCATGATCTCGAGGTCCTTCGCCATCGCTGAAGTCGCCCTGAAGAGTCCATCGACTAGCCCTAGCGATGTGCCTCGAGCTTTGCCCTTGATGTTCGGTGACCGTCATGTCGCCGACTGAGGACAGGCGTGACTCGGAAGCCTGCTGTGCCAGAGGATGCCGCATGCCCTCAGAGGACCACAAAATGTCTTCCTGACTGATTGGATTGACCTCGAGGAGCACGGTCCGTTGCCGCGTCCTCCTGTGCAGCCCAATCTCCCGCACGGCCCTCCTTTGACGCGCACTTCCTGGCGGCACTCGCCCCTCCTCCCGCCGGCGGCCGCCGGAGAGCCTCGGAAGGAGAACTCCACCTCGAGTCTCGCCCGGTCCCCGAATCCTGTCCTCACCGATGGCGTGATCATCCTTCCTTCGGGCCCCCGGAGGTTTGGAGGAGCGACCCCCCCCAGGGGGGAGGAGGAGGGGATGATGCGATGCCTGATGCCCCTGATGGTCAGGGGTTCGAGGAGGGGAGCCCGGGATCCTCTCCCCTGGAGAGCGCTTGCGCGAGGAGGCGAAGGCCGCGGGGAGAGGGTGTGGCGGAGGAGGGGCGGGGGAGAGGAGGAGGGGGGAGGGGATGGGGGGGGGGGAGGGGGGGGGGGATCCTCGGACGAGGAGGACGAGGAGGGAGGAGGAATGGAGAGAGGGGAGGAGGGGAAGGGAGGGGGGAGGGTGAAAGGAGGAGGAGGAGGAGGGAGGGCGGACGAAGGAGGAGGAGGAGGCGGAGGAGGAGGAGGAGGAGGAGGAGGAGGAGGAGGAGCGAGGAGGAGGAGGAGGAGGAGGAAGCGGAGGAGGAAGCGGAGGAGGAGGAGGAGGAGGAGGAGGAGGAGGAGGAGGAGGAGGGCACGAAGCTCGGCGAGCAGTTCGATCTGCAGCCTCGCCTATGCCTGCATGCGGTGAAGAGCGGCCAGTCTCACACCAGCCCGTTGGTCAGCTCCAGCGTCCAAGCCCACGTCCATGCGGTGCTTCTGGATGTGGTAGCACTGGCACATCAGGCCGACCGAGTAGATGCAGTCCTTGATGGGTCTCTTTGCGTGGTACTGCTCGTCGCCGAAGCCGAGGAGCTCGGCGCCGTTGCCGAGGGAGTCCGCACCAGCGTCGCCCGCAGTCATCGCCCTGAGGATCGGGCAGACGACGTAGTGCTCGAGCGCGTCCTCCGCGTCGCAGCCGAAGAGGCATGGCCGCGCGTCGATGACGGCGCTCATGCGGCGAGATGTCGTCCAGCCGTTGACCGCGGTGCGGATCCACGACCACATCCAAGCCGGGCGGACCTCCGTCAGCTTGCCACGCAGCGGAGGCCACCTCTCTCGCAGCTCGGGCAGCGAGCACTCGACACCCCACCGGCGCAGCCGACGGTGGATGGTGGTCACCAGGTCCTCGGGGTACAGCGAGCCACGGAGCGAAGCGGCGGCCGAGGCCTGGCGCTCGGGCTTCCTGGTGGGGGTGGCCGCTGCCGCCGTCTTCGTCTCCAGGATCATCGCCGACTTCGCGCTCTTGATGCACCTGCTCGGGATCGGAACCGAGAGCACGTCGAGCGACGGTCTGGGGATGTCCAACTGGCCGTAGGTGTCCGTGATCATGGCGTAGTTCTGTACGATCGCCCTCCGCGTCTGCCACCACGATGGCGACCAGTTGCCCTTGATCACGTCAAGCAGTGGGACGTGCTCCACGGCAGCTTCATGAAGGTGGTGGAGGTGGGCTTCCCATCCGCGAACCGTGTTCTCCGCCGCGCGCATCATCGCCGCGAGCGTGTATGGGAAGAGGCCAATCGGCGATGGGGAACCGCACCACGCGCTCATCGACAGGATGTCAGCCTTGCGCATGGACGAGGGCGGCAGCCGCAGCAGGCGGTGCAAGGAGGTGAACTCGACCTTCCAGATGGCAGGGACAATGAAGTAGAACTGCGCGAGGTACGACAAGCACGGAAGCGCGTTGATGTTGTGCGCGCGGGCCGCAAGGCTGGTGGCCATGCCAGTGCGCGCAAGCTCCCAGCATCGGGTCCACCATTTCCCCGCAGCAGCCTTCCAGATGCCGAAGTCCGTGACGCCTGGTCCCAGGTGAGTCCCCAGGTACTTGGCCGTGGAGTCGACGCGGAAGCCCAGCCAGCGGGGGACCTCCTTAGCGAGGTAGGACTTAACGTTCAGCAGTGTGTTCTCCGAGAGCTCCTCCCACAGCGGAACCAGCACGCACTTGTGCAGCGCCAGCTGCAGGTTGAAGGCGAACTCTATGGAGACGAAGGTGTGGTCGATGCTAGGGAGGGCGACAGCGTTCTTTATCAGCATCCCGAGATCGTCGGCGCAAGCCGTGAGGAACCCATGCTCTGCAATCGCAGCCAGCAGCGCACGGATGGGCGCATCCATTGCCAAGCACCAGACCGTGCCAGAGAGCGGGCATCCTTGCATGATGCCGCACAGGAGCGCGAACAGCGGTTCGAGCTCCGCGCCGGTGCCCTCGGCGCGGAAGGAGCTAAAGGCGAGGCAGTTGCTGTAGAGCGCCGCGACCACGTTGCAGAAGCCCAACGGGACCCCGAAGCGCGGCAGGACCTTCTCGATGACTTCCCTGAAGAGCGAGGGGAAGGCCTGACGGAAGTCGAACGACAGGAACATGGGGCGGCGGGTCGCCGCGTCAGGAAGAAGGCCCTCCCTACGGCATTCCGCGTCCAAGTGCGGGATGTGGTCTACGAAGCGCCGCCCCGCAGTGAAGCCCTTCTGCTCGGGTGAGGTAGATGATGTGGCGATGGGCTGGAGCCCTCGATCAGCGCAGGCCGCTATCAGCTTGGCGTCGCAGTTCTTCAGAGAGAGGGTGCGCACCGTGGAGGCCGTGCGCGTGCAGGAGTCGGGGACGTCGTCCTCCTCCGTGCCCTTCGGCACGCAGATGAAGATCGACCAGTTGAAGCCGAGCGGGGCCGCGCCGTCGTTGAAGAGGACTTCCATGAGTGCCTGGAGATGCTGCAAGGCTCCAGGGCTGCGGCGCCATGCTGCGCACGTCAGCTGATATGGTCCCGCAGCGCTCGGCGGGGCCCTACTGGCCGCACGTTCCAAGTCATGTAGAGCTGGTTGGGGTAGTTCCACCGCAGGGTTCCTTGGTGCATGCTTGTCTAGGAAGGCGCCCAATGCCTTCAGCTGTTCAGAATTCGGCACCTTCGCGAAGATCTCACCCCAGTAGTTCGCCACAGTCGCCTTCATGCCCGCGGGGTCGGAGACCACGTGCTGAGCCACCTGCGAGTCCTTGGCGGCACACGGTGCGGAATCCACGCGCAAGCCCGAGAGGATCATGCGTCGCCGCCAGGGGACCCAGAGCTGCGCATGCCTGGCGGCCTTGCGTTCAACCCTCCGCCAGGCTGCGCTGTCGCGCACGTTGGCCGTCCGAGCTGCTGCCTCCGCCGCCTGCCTGCGCAAGGAATGCACTCGCTCGGCGATGGCGTCGAAGTTTGTGGCGAAGCTGTGGGGGTCCACGAGGCGCACGGTGCCGTCGGCAATGTGGAGGTGGACGGCCAGCGCAGGGCAGGAGTCGAGAAGCCTGCCTGCCAGGACAGCGTCCTGTCGCCAGACTGCTCGCGCCGCCGACTTGAACCCCATGTACGAGGTCTCGACCGTGGAGTCCTTGACGTGTAGGGAGAAGTTGGTCCGCAGCTGTTCATCACGAACACGTCGCGCCGCAAGCTTCATGCACTGCTTCGCTGCTCTCCAGCGGCCTTCCGCCGTTTCCCCATCCAGGGCGCAGTGGTCCAGCGTGAGCGTGTAGGTCTCAGGGTACTTCCTGTGGCTGAAGAGGTGCGTCGGGATTGGCTGCTCGTCTCGTGGGACATGGCGTGCGGCAGTGATCTGCAGAACGAGGGGCGCGTGGTCGCTGATGCCCTCCTCGGAAAGCTCCATCGCGTCCCTCGCAGTGGTAAGGATCGTCGAGACCGAGAGCATGGCGTGCGCGTCGATGCCCAAGAAGATGCGGTCGATCGTGGACAGCTGCTTGGAGGACTTGTCGTAGTGGGTCGGCCACTGAGACTCAACCTCCATAGCTGCAGCGAATAGACGGCGCCACGCAGGTTGTCGAAGTTGGCAACGGTGATCAGGTCGGAGGCGCCAAGCAGTGGTGTCTGAGGGAGCTCGTTGACTGACTGGCGGGCGGGTAGCTATGTTGAAGTCACCGACGCCCAGGAAGATGCGGTGTAACGAGTCACGGCGCGCCCATGCCAGGCCACTGGACCAAGTGCGTTGTACTGCAGTGAACTCGTGCGGTTTGAGGTCGTAGTTGTGAATGTTGAAGATCTGCATGCTGTACTTGCCCGTGCTATCGGTGATCGTGAGGAGCGCCGCGCGGCCGACCGCCACTATGTCGAAGCGGAAGGTCGGAGGCGCAGGGGTGGGGTTGCGTGAACTTGACCAGGTGTTGTTCGGTAGTGACGTGGATGTCGTAGGAGAACGTCGTGTACTTGACCAGGTGTCGGAGCAACTTGCTGTCGTAGGTGAAGGGGAGGTTCGTGTACTTGACCAGGTGTCTTGAGTCGGTAAGGATGCAGCAGGGGGCGAGGGACACTCAGTGGGTCTGACACGCCTCGCCTCGCCCCCGCCTCCCAGAGATTCGGCTCTGGGTCCATCCGCCCTTGGACTTTCGTCGACGTAACGAGGGACGAGAAAGGCGACTCCGCCCACGGCAGCGGAAGAGCCAGGCGAAAGGAAGCTCATGTACTTCTGCGGCTGCGACTGGAGAAAGATCCTGAGGGCGCCCTCGGAGCCGTGGACCTCCTGCACGGCGATGATGGCGTTGACCTTCATGTATGTGGCGAGCAGTGCCAACTTGCGTCTGCGCAGCCTCGCGTCCGAGTGGAGCAGGCCACGGGCATTCCACGCGACCAGGTGAAGTCCACGGAAGCCATGCCGTGCGCCAGGAGGACGCCATGGCGCCCACAGTGGGCTGCTAAATCCACTCAGTGTTGTCCTCCGTGGAGAAGGCCTTCTTGAACTGCGTGTTGATGGACTCTCTGTCGATGTGC